CCATAATATAAATAAACAACACTACAGATCCTATAATCTGATTTCTGTCTTTTAGTTTATTAAAGAGTGAAGCGCCAAACACTAGTTTGTGTCATTATCCAGATGTACATAAGCATGATTACACAGGTACTAGCGGGTTTTGATTATCGATTAAAATCGATTCTAGCTTGGATAACGTGATATCGATTCATTAAAATCCTGAATCGATTTTTAATATAAATATTACTACATTTCAACCACCACCAAACAGCTAAAACAGTAAATGAGAGCAGGTACACCGATTCTGCACAAAGACATAAACACAAAGCGCTGACGCATCACAATCAGTGAGATGTCGCCTTTCTCACCAGACAGCACGGACACGGTCGGGGCTGAAAGCCGACAGCTCACTGATTCTAATCTAAGGCATCTGCTGTCATGCTTACACATTAGATAAAGTCTCGAAAGTGTCAGCTTTCTTTTTATAGTTATAAAAATATGCAAATGTACTGATCTATGATCTGAATTATACTATTGACTGACTGTCTGAGGCTAACAGTTACACAATCATACCAAAACTCTGTCCTGATAGTTTCCACTTTCTCTTTTGTATCACACATACTGAGACAATATTCGGGATAAATAACCAAGAAAACAATTTACTTATTCAGTTTAGAGGTTTACACTTCATTATAATCACAGAGCCCGCTTCACTTGAATTGTCCACTTGATGGCGCAGTAGAGCAAATGAATCATCACAATGCTTCGAACCATGAGTCGACCAATTGGGTGGAAAGCTTCAGTTCATCATGAGGCTTCATCTCACCATCACTAGTGGAAAGCTTCAGTTCATCATGAGGCTTCATCTCACCATCACTATCAAAAGCTTCAGTGCTTCATGAAGCTTCATCTGCCCATCAGTACACACAGCTCACTAGCTGCAAGCTGCAAACACACAGCTCACTAGCTCCAACTACTCACATGGCTCTCTGGCACAGAGCTCACCTTTCTCTGGGCTTAAATACCTTTAATTGCTGATGGAAGGCAGCTGTACAAAAAAAGGTGGCACCTAAGGCAGGAGAGCTGGTAGGACACACCCACACAGGTAACTTCAGGAGGAGGCCCTGCTAGGGCCATTACAATTGGTCTATAATTAGTTAAAACTGCTGGGTTATCCCCGTTTTAATAGAGGGACAACAAAATCTGATTTCCATACTGAGGGAATTTCTTCCATTGTCATGGTCCCTGTTTCTGCCCAGCCGGCTCCGCAAGGCTACATGTGTTTTTGTTTTGCTCTCACTCTCTTTCTTTCGCCGCTCTGCCTGGGTGGAGCTCACATCCATAACCAGTTTGAGGGTTACAATAATTGAGAGAGGCTCTGCCACAAAATCAGCTGGGAGTTTCAAAAAGTAAGAATCTATTAAATCGGGTCCTGACGGTTTTCTATGAGCTAATACTTTAAGAGCTTCATGGACTTCCTGTACAAAGAAAGGAACAAAGTTAAATGGCTGACCAATGTTTGTGCAGGATTTTACAGAGACTGGATTCAGAGAGTCAAAGAGTCAGAAGATATAAAGTGCTTGTTAAAGCAATTCATAATCTCCTTCCTATCATAAACAGGAACTGAATCCTTAAAAAAATTGGTGAGCTTTTCCTACCTGAAAGAGACTTAATATTTTCCAGAACTTCTGTGGATTATTTAGGTTCTCAGACAGACAATAATAATATTCTGATTTAGCTTTCTTAATAGAGGAAGTACATTTATTTCTTAGTCATCTGAAAAGAAGCCAATCATTGGGCTTTGGCCCAAGCCAGGTTACGTTCATGATGGATATCTGCCAGCTCTGGGGCGAACCTGGGACTTTTTATGACCTTTTATCCTAAATCTCCCTAATGGGGCATGTTTATTCACAATTAGCATAAAAGCATCCATAAAAACTGTCCCACATCAGGGATCAATCCTATTTTCTTCCAATCATAGTTTGACAAATCATGATAAAATGCTTGTTCATTAAACTGTTTAACAGTCCTTTTAAAAATAATACCTGATGACTTGGGCACCTTAGTGTTTCAAATAACAGCAACAACACAGTGGTCGCTTAAGTCATGGCAAAAGACACCCAAGGATGAAAATTTATGAGGAACATTTGTCAGAAGCTAGTCAATCAAGGTAGACTTTTCAGGGGTTTTTTACCTGTCTTCACTGTATTCTAATTTTTTGAATTAGAATACTGTTGTTGTGGGTTTTATGAGCTGGAACATTATATACAAATAAACAACTAAGTACTTGAAATTGTTTAAGTTGTGGGCCCTTAATCAATGAAAGTTTAATGTTTTGAAAGGAATCATGGAAATAAATAAACTTTTCCATGATATTCTAATTTCTTGGACAGGGTCTGTAGTTTAGTCTGGACAGGAAAAGCTTTAAAGAATGCAGAGCCTCTGTAAAGGCAGAACGAGGTCTATAGCAACAAACAGCTGTTAGATAAAGACCCTTTGCAATATTCAGAGCCAGAAATTCCATTTGCTTGCTAATGTATTCTGATAGAACTATTGTGGCATCAAATTTCAACTTAACATAAGCAGCAACACCACCACCTTTCTCAAGCCTATCTGTACGATAGATACTGTATCCAGCTATGCTAATATGTTCATCAGATATATATTTAGACAACCAAGTTTCAGAAATTAAAACAATATCCCCATCTGTTTATCAAACCCAAAACTTCACCATATCCATCTTGGGTAACAAACTGCGCACATTAAGATGAACAATCTTCAGCCCAGATGAGGATTTAAATTCAGATGGTGTCTGAGTACATTGCAGCTCAGGGCCCGGGTTAGGTTGCACATTACCAGATAAGAGCAGTAGTAAGACAGTCGGGAGTCTCTGCTTTGCAACATTACCTACTGAATTTGACTTGTGAAAGGTTAAAACTAAGTAGAATATTTCATAACTCAAAACAAGACGGTTTTGAAGTTGAGGTAAATCTTTGTGTAGATCAAATGATAAATGCACGGCCTGTTCCAAATACATTGGTGATTGTACAGGATGTACAGCAGCAGTGATACATGTGGACCTGAGGACCTCCTCTAAGAAGAGTCATATACAGATCCAATATTGGATTTAAAAATGAGGTTATTACAAGTAAGCTTTAAATTTCTATATTTACAAATGTCACTGAGCAGTCATTCAATTTAAATATAATCTGTCATCTTCCTCAACTTTCCAGTCTTTCTAACATTTTTCTCTATTTCTGAATGAAGTTTTTCTTTCTGGAAAATACAGCAGCTGTACCTTTAGCTAGCAGAGACAAACCGAGTGTAGTTTGACAAACTACACTCGGTTTGTGTTTGTTTGCTGATATTTGTTTATCCAATCAAAAAGTTACATTTGAAATTACCTGCCACTTAAAAAATGCTACTTCCTTGTTGTTGTGATGCTGGTGGAAAAGCAATGACAACATACAGACATGAAAAATGCAATTCCAGATTGTTCTGGCCCACTTTAACCCCTGAGTTGACATTAAAATTTTTTTGCCTCTTTCACCTCTTTCTATGCAATAAGCACCAATGATGGATACACTGATAGGATTAACTTTCATAGATTTTCTTGTTCCCTCCAATTGGTGCTGAAATCGGTTTGAAGTTTGAAGGCGCACACTAATGTAAGGCAAATACCTCTGCAATGAAACTTAAAACAACAAGCCTGTTTTTGAAAATGTGAGGAGTACAAAGTGTAGATATTTGTGTAAGAAATGTCAGGAAGGATCGCTTAGAATAAAGGCCATGAGAACAATAGAAACCATGTGAATGCCCCTAAAATTGAAGCAGTGTCCCCCAAAGGACGCCACCAAGGACCAGTCCAACAACAGATAGAGCTCAACACAGTCAGCATTTTTCAGTTGTCTAGCTCACCAACTTCTGGTGGAAATATCCTTGTTTATACACTAAACAGGAACTATCTGTGTTTGCAGTTCTAAGGGTCTTTATGTCTGCTTTCTGACTGTTTTATCAAAACTTACTGGTGTAAACAAGGTTCATGCTCAGAGGTATGTTCTCACCAAATGCCTTTTACTACGACTACAGACCACTGAGGTTATGTCAGTAAGATTTAAACTCTCAAGCTCTTCATTTTTCATTTTTTTAATTAACCAGTGTTGCCACTTTTCAGCTGCACTTTGACTAAATTTGTCTTGAAGTGTGTGATTTTATGCAGTTATTTAAATATTTATTGCAAATCCACTTTTCACCATTCCTACCAGCATCTAGAATAAACACTTTTGTCTCCAGTGTGTCTGTGGACATGGTCAGAATGCTGCTAAAAGCCTGTATTACCAACATGTAACACAAGGGGTATGTCTCCATTCTATTATGCACTACCCACATAGCTTTATCACAAATAAATTGGTATTACCTTGTAAATGTAAATGCAGATTGGAAAAAAAATTGCAGACAGGCGATGTCACAGAGATTGGTGCAGATTTTCCTGCATTAAATTGTTCTTATCACAATGTTGTTAAAGAAGAAGAATATTGATGCCAAGAGGCAACTCACACAACAGATAGGAAGAAAATCAATGCTCTTACTTTTCTCTCTCTCTCTCTGTCACTCTTGTTTATCTTTCTTCGATTTGGATTTAATACACTCCGTTGTTTTTAAAAACTGTCTTACTACTTTCTAATGCAATTTAGCTTAGCAATCGTCATTTCAGCACCAGTGTAAAGATAAAAAAAAAAAAGGATTTGCTGCGATTTAATGTTCAATCAAAAAGAGATATGTGGTTTGGGCTTGTGGAACTGGTTCCATGTTTCTGGTAAACTGGTGAGGAAAATGTCGGCCTAATATGTGAAGGGATTCACTTAAGACTGTCGGGCTAAGCAACTGCTTTCAGGTAACCAGCCTTGATTGAAGCAACAGATGGTATCATTTATCTCGTAGACGACACAAGTGCAACATGAATTTCAATCACAGCTTTGAAGCTAGGTTTGGGTCAATCCTGTTCATTGCTCCAAGCCTACCTTCTGCTGCCTCCTGGCCATATCAGTCGGTTGTTTCGCGTTAAATGGATATGCGATGCAGCGCATCACAAACACATACAGCTGGAGTCTCTTTTTCCTCTCTTCCTCATCTCGCTGAATCTTTTCCAGGTCCTCCTTTTCCTTGTCGCTGCCAACCGACGGGCTCGGGCTTGACGGTCGACCACGGCCGCTCCCGCCACCCCGTGACTGGAGCCCTCCGTTGGCTTGGCCGTCGGCGGCTCGGCCCGGTGACAATCGGGCTCCCCCGATGTTCTTCGGGGCCGCCACTTCTTTGTGCTCCACCTGCAGTATCTCTTCCCCTTCCTCCTCGCTTGAAGACGGGTCCAACATGCTGCGGTAGCTTAGATGAAGACTCTACCTGTTGCAATTGAAAAACTGCGAGAGCAGAAAACAGAAAGACGCCTTGAATGTACTAAAGCTGACCGATGAGCCCTCAGATTGTTCTTTGTCATGAAAAAAACTGCTGCCACAGTTCCAAGCTCATCGCGAAAAAATAAAGTGTTATAAACACAAAGTAGCCGTGTGATTTCGAAGCCTTTCAACTCTCCCAGTCAGTGGCACATAGGAGGAATTAATGACGGGAGCAAATCTAAAGGGGAGGTGTCGCAGAGAGGTAACGCTGATGCGTTGGTGCGCTGCTGCTCGGAGAAAGAGGCAGGGCTCGGAGCTGACCACGGTACTGAAACATGATACCAGCTGCTCTGGGATCAGTTTAATCAAGCTGCGAGCACAACAGATAAAGGGCCACCTCCAGCAAAGCCGAAAGAGGACAGCGCTAGACCGGAATCAAAACAGCTTTATTACTGGTTTAAAACAATCCAGCAACAAGATCGTAAGCCTGCTTCTGTGGTATTTGCATGTCCTCCTCGTGTCTGCGTAGGTTCCCTCCAGGCACTCTGGCAGTCATGTATAGAGTTAGTTTAACTGACCACAGGTGAGAATGCGAGGGTAGGCTTATCCGTTTCTGTATATTTGCTCTGTGACAGATGTGTACTCCGCCACGCGCCCAATAACAATGCGCCTGTTTATTTATATATACACAACGCACTGTGTAATTTACGTTCTTCTTGTTACTAGTATTCTTGTTTGTTTTGTTTTGTCTTGTTTAGCTTTTTCTGTTCTTTCTGTCTTATCTGCTCAAATTTGGGGTTGTTTAAAATGCCTGTTTAGGAAGAAGAACACGTTTTTATTTAATACAACATGATATTTCAGCTGTGTTAATATGATGAGTAAGTCTGTTAGCATTTTAGCTTTTCTGACTGTTCTTTTCCCACTTGTTTTGCATTTGGTCAGGCTCTTTATTACTACTGGTAGCATGAGGCTATAACTGGACCCTACACTGGCTATAACTGGACTCTACAGTGGTGGCACAGATGGTCCAAGTCACATATTGATGGCACAATATAGAAGGTTTGCTGTGTCTCCCAGCACAGTCTCAAGAGCATGGAGGAAAGTCCAGGAGCCAGTGACTCTAGGAGAGCTACACGGGGCTGTAGAAGGACCTTAAACCATGAGGAGGACCAGTTTCTGCTCCTTTGTGCAAGGAGAAACGGGATGCACACTGCCAGAGCCCTACAAAACTTGTTAATTAGACAAAAGTCTAATAGACAGGTTGACCAGTGGCAGGCTCAGCCAGCACATGTAAGTAGCATTTATGAGAAATCACTTGGTTCACTGAATGTAATACATTTATCCAGGTGTTTTCCTACAACTCCTTCTTGATTTTTTGTGTTTATATTTTTAAAGACAGACAGTGTGGCGTCCATGTACTCTAAAAACAGATTATATATGAATATACAGAAGATTTCTGGTTTCCATTTTGTAGCCTTTAAGAGGACTTCTATCGCATGTAGGCAAACAGTCCACTTGAAGACCAAAATCACATCAAAACAACATTTATTTTATAACAGCAATTTGGCCTTTAATTAGCTCATACTATATAGTCAGTTTTTGTTTTGTTTTGAGGGGG